ATTTTACAAAATAGTTTAGTTAGAAATATATATAAATAAGTTTATTAAAAATATATTATAAACTTTTGATGAAAATATTATAATTAATAAAAAAAATAACTTTTATGTAATATATTATAAAATAAATGAAATCATAACAAAAAATAAATAAATAATTAAATTAATTTTGTAAGCGGGTGTAAATAATGTTGGCTAGTAAAAAAACATGGGGAGTGAGTATTAAGGGCCATAGATCCAGATATTGGATCTAGGCACATTCGCATGGGGGTGCAAAACCTGGTTAACATAGTAAAATAAAGAAAAGCAGGGGTGCAGTTAGCATGGGCCTTTGCCCCAGAAAGTTGTGCTTGGATACGTTTAGATCGTGTATGGGAGAGCATATGCAGTTATGGTGAGTACGCGAGATCACATGTGTTTCATAATGATTGAAGGATTGAAAAGCGAGGGTCCATGTTGAGGGTGTAGAGATCATGTGGCCAGATATTGACCATGTGTCTCAAACGATCAAAAGACATGGGAAGTATATGTTTTCTCATTTTTCTCTTTTATTTATTTTGTTTCATCTTTCTCTCTCGCCTCTCTCTCTCTCTCTCTCTCTCTCTCTCTCTCTCTCTCTCTCTCTCCATGTTCTACCTTTTTCTTCTCCCAACAACACAAAACACTAACAACAACCCTAAACACAAACGCAAGAAAATGGCAGCGATGCAACCCTAATTCAGATCCCGACAGAACAAAATCAACCCAACCCCAATCGTAACCCCACAAACCTTAACCCTTGAATCCCCAAAAACTCAACAAATCACTAAATTAAAATCATAATAGCTAAGTGTTATTTACCTTTATCGTTGTGATCTCCTTCCTCTACTTCTGGTTTCTCTGATTGTTGGCCCTTTCGTCTCCTATGGTTTGTAGGTGTGGCGGCGCAGCGGATGAAGAGTCTAGCGGTGGCAATTGAAGATTGAGCGGCGGAGGATGAAGAATTTAGGGTTTCAGAAGTTGAAACCCTAAATCTTTGTGAAGAGGAAGCTTCTTGTGAAACTTCAGGCATCCTCAGTCAACCCCTTCTTCTTCTACTCCTTCTGTCAAGAATCTCCCCCCCCCCCCCCCTCCCCTCCCTTATTTATAACTTCTAGGGTATTTATAGGTTTAGAGCTTAGATGAATTAGGAAAATTATTTTGTGATTTGCAGTTACAAATTTGTTGATTGAAGGAATTAGGTTTTGAATTAGTTTAAATTTATTGTAAATTCACTGTAATTGATAATATTTTGATTTGATTTTTGCATCTGTGTAATATAATTTTAGTTAATATTAGATTTGATTTGTTATAATGTGGGATTTTAATTCTGATTTGATATAGTTTTGTAAAGACTTGATTGTAGTTTAATACGATTGAATTTGTTTCATGCAAAAAAAATCCAGATGATAAGGAATTTTTGGGGTATGACAGCATGTAGCTGGTGTTGTGTAACTGTTGTATCTCTGATACATTTTTGTGCAATTTGGTGTGTGGTTTTATTCCTCTCTCCATTTTTTGATTTTGGGTTTTGGTTATTTTATCCAAAATTTGCTAAAGGGGGAGATTGTTAGTTCCATATCTTTATGGTTGGCTAAATTTTGGCTAAGCATGGTTCTATGTTGTTGTTGAGTAAGATGTTGCAGCATCTTTATTAACTGCCATAACAGTTTTACTGTTATGTGTTTTCAGTTAGATGTCGAAGGCAGATGTCATGACATCTTGATCTGGTAATATAGTACAACAGGCAATGTTGTTTTAAATCTTGACAGATTTAATTTGATTCTGAAATATTTCTTTTGGATATGTTTCAGTAAATTTCGCAGGTCAAGAAGATTTTATCTAGAACAATGTTTTATATCTCCAGATGTGCATTAGTTACTAAATTGGGTCTTGAGATGATTTAGGAAACTTTGTATTGTTTGTTACAATATTTAAAGAGATTTTGCTGCACAATAAATACAACTCTCAACTTGTAGATCAAGGAATATCTGATGGAGATTTCGAAGCTCATGGATTGAATAAGTGTATTTAAAGAGAAGACCTAGCCTAATATAATTTAAGTTTTCAATAATTGTAAAATTAGGGGAAGCATAAGTCTTAGGTTTTGAGAGTCTCTTGTGTATTGTGTGGTGTAAGTCACCCTTATATCTTTTGATACTTGTGGTCGACATTATGTTCTCACTCAAAAGCCTTTAGGCAATGAGTTGAGTATTGTTCTTAGATGAAGCTTTTAAGAAAATTCAAGTATTTTTCTTTGTCAAGAGTCTTGGCTAAGTTTTGTAATTGAAGTATGATCTTCTAGTTGAGTTAAACTCAATACAGTCACTGGGATTGAGACTGTTAAATATCACTAGGTGATTTAGGAAGTGAAATGGAGATTTCTCATATCTAGGAGGTGCATAGGTAGAAGTAGCATTGGTTAGGGATTAGGAGAGAATTTGTAAACAGGGGAGTTTACCTTTGAATTAATATTTCTAATAGTGGATTTCCTTCTTATTTTGGTAGCATGTATGTGAGTTTCCACTTAACTGAGTTAATAACTCCATGTGTTATTTATAATTTTGTAGTTTAAGTTTAAGTATTTTATGATAACTTGATGAATATGTTCAAGATGTCAAACCAGATGTCGTAACATTAGTCTTGACATTGTTTTGATGTTAAAACTCAGTATAACCATGTGTTTCATGTACCTGAGAAATTTCACTTGGTCCTTCATTTGTAAACTGGAGTTTGAGGGGGACTAGGAATCAAAAAATGTGAATTATTCAACTTGGCGTTGCTTAGTAAATATGCATGGAGATTTCTTCCTGACCCGAATTTAATATGGTATTCCTTATTACAATTAAATACGGTGATATTAAAGCTTTGGTACTTGATCATTCATGGAATATAAACTAAAAAAAAACAATTTAACTAGTGGTGTGATCATAGGCTTTCCATTGGAAAAGTTGGAATAGACTATGGTTGGTTCTAAAACAGAGTCTTTGTTAAATTGGGGATAGGTTCATATATATTTCTGGAGTAATAGGTGGTGTGGTGTTATCCCTCTGAAGCGTATACTTCCAAATATTTTTAGGTTGCTCAAGTCACTAGGCTTAAGGTCGATGAGGCATGATCTTAGTTTCACGGTCCATGGGAGTAAAATTTTGGTTACATATCAGGTCTGAACTTTGATTTTTCAAGTAGAGCTTAGGAGGAGCTTGGTAAGATTCTCATGAATGTGAGCCCAAATCCTTAATCAAATGACTCTTTTGTTTGGTTGGGAGATGCTCTAGGTTTCTCGATAAAGTCGGCTTATGCTAGTTTGGTTGGCATTGATTTCGGTGGTCCTCATTTGGAAGATAACCAGGCTGAAGCGATTAAGTTGTTATGGTCCACATATGTTCCCAGCAACATTCAAGCATTCGCTTGAAGATTGCTTCTGAACAGGTTTAAAACAAGGGATGAGCTAAAAAATGTGTTGTGTTGTCGGGTCAGCTTGACCTCGTGTGCCCCTTACGCTTAGGGATTGAGGAATCTCATCTCTAACTTTTCCTCTTATGTCTTGTTGTTGCATTTGTTTGGTAGGGTATTCATAGTTGATTTTGAAGTGCAAATGAATGGTTGATTTGGCGTGTTAAAATTGATGTTCTCTTCAAAAGTGGTTGCAAAGGAGCTCCAGATATTGTGTTGTTTTCTAAAACGCTGGCGTGGAATTGGTTAGGCGCTAGATCCAAATGATCAATGAGCATTAGTTAGAATATTTGGTTACTTTATCTTTTATCCCTTTTTGTTAAGTAGTTAGTTTTGTCTGTAGGTTCGGTCGGATTGTTTTCCTTTGTTATATTTAGGTTAAGGTTTCGTTTATAGGTTCGATCGAGTTGTTTTCCTTATTATATTTGGATTAAACACCCTTTATATTTTCTTTTAATACACTATCATTTGCTTATCAAAACAAACACTTGCAAATTATTTAAGTTATTTATGTTAGACTTAATAGAATTTTTTTCAATTTCCAACCACAAAAAAGTAAATAAATTTTTTTTCTATCTTAGATCAACTTCAATGGTGCAACCATCTTAGAGTTATTTTATAAATCTCGTTAAACCATATTATTTTGAAGCAAGTCATTTCGTTTTAATTTTAAGTCGTACAATTTTATTTTATATATTAATATTTTGTTCATATTAAATTTTACTTTAATTAAAAAATTAATTTTAATAAAAAATAATAAACAAATAAAATTGTACTTAAATTTTAATAAAAATAATCTTACATATATAATTAAAAATGAAAATTTTAAAGTAAAAAGATACAAATTTGAATAAAACATATGTCAAAGAAAAATTAGTGAGATGAAATTATGAGGAAATTTTTAAAATTAAAAGTAAAATAATGAAATTGTAGGAGAGAAATTAAAAATTGAAAAACAACTTAGATTGTGAAAAAAAATTGATATACAAGACTTTGGTCACTTTGATCGGTGAGTCGTCATTCTGAACTATAAAACCAGATTAATCGATTCATTATATGAATCGAAACTGGTTGAAGGAAGAATTCATACTTTGAAAGGGTTCTTCCATTCAGTGACTAAAATCGCAAACCCTCGAATCCTTCCTAATCCTTTGATTAAAGCCACATGATGATCAGTCTCTTTCGCTAATCCTTCGATTAAAGCCACATAATCGTATCACATAACTAATGATACACACTTGAACCACAACATCAAACTAACTCGCTATCAATCTCCTTCGCATAAACAATAATCAAGAAAACCGAAATCTTCAAATTAAAATTCATCACAACAAAAAAAAATGAGTGCATGCACCCCCTAAAGTCAATCAATCTCATAGGTCACAATAATCAAATTCAAAAAGTCGAAAAGCTTTTCTACTCTAGTTGGCACTGTCATCACTACTGCATGAAAACTAGATGAGTGACCGCGAAAATCTTAAATATTTACCAAGCACTGGTTGGTGTGTATGCTAATATAAAATAAATTGTCACCCGCGCATTAAATCAATGTCCATATGGGAGTTACGCATATCCAAAGGACGCGATGCAGGCCAAGAATTCAGAGAACTCGGAGTCAGATTCTGGTTCGGTGAAATGCTGTTCACTGCAACCGGATTATGAACCCCATGATGATGATGATGATGATGATCTTGCTCTATGCCAACTTCTTGATTTTCTGAATCTTCGTTCTTCTTGTTCTTTGCCTTTTGTCCACCCCACATAAAGCTTCCAATTATCACCTGTAATCATCGTGAACAATCAAAGTGAAAACATGAAACTTCTTCACGAAGAAACAGGCACTAAAGTTCTTGATTTGATGTGTGAAAAAGTGCAAGTACCTGAACTGGACTTGCGGCGATGAGCAGACCACCGACGCCTCCGCCAATGACACGACCATCAGGACTTGCAAGAGTAACACTTAAGGAACCCGTTCTGTTTCGCAAGCCATTGTTATCAGCAACCAAGTAGGAGCCGGTCAGGCTTAGTATCTCGAAACGCCCCTATTTAGGCCAAAGTCCACAAATTATTAATCATAATCCATATACAAACATAAAAAACTTTAACATGCTAAAAAGAGTTGGAGTGTGTTTGGTTCTATGGTGACAAAAACTAAGTTGTGGTATCTTGATAAAGGATTGCTATGTGATTATGTGCAAGAACAAATGTGCGTAAACGGGTCATAATTATTTATGGACCTATTAGTGTATCAAACATAGATGTATGTAAAAATGAGAAAGTTCCGAACCTCATATGTGACAGATCCCCCAGATGTCGAAGTCTGACAAAGCGTCACTGTAGAGACAGCACCATTGGCGGACATAACAAATATAGCTCTAGGTCCCTGCTGAGAGAATGCCAGAATTTTTGTCGCAATGTCCTACAGAGAAGAAAATCGTCAACTTTCAAAAGAGACGGCTCAAATATAGCATTTGTAACAAAAGATAAATTTTAGACATTTATAATGACAACCGAAAAATTGACACAGATTGCTATAAAAAACGTAGCATACTTCTCCAATCGCAATGTTGATGACGTGAGGAGTGAAACCGTTCCCAGCTGAACTAGTGATCAAACCTCCTGCCCAAAATCACACAAAATTTACTTTAATATTCAAAGTGAGGGAATCAATAGTCTAAATGATAAAATTTCTTATAAGATTCTCACCTAAATACATACATGGAAGAATATAAAATTCATTGATAATTCAATTCATTTTGATTTTGAAGAAAAACCAAAGATATCAAGCCGGAAATCTAGATCATCAGATCTCGATCCAACGATCATCAATGCTATACAGACAATCCGAATTCCAACCATCTATCTTGTGATCAGTCAAATTTTGAATCGACAAACCATAACTCAAAAGATATACATATACTATCCAAAAAACACGGATATGAAATTATGAAACAAGAAATATCTCAAGTTAAAATTAAGACTAGTTTAATTTTATCAAACTTGACAGATTAAAAAGTCGAATCGAAATTTACCGACAGAAGCCAGCTGTTGTTTCTTTCCTGACCCTGGAGGGCGTCCTCGACCGCGTTTCTGACCTTGCGATCCAGATCCAGACCCAGGCTGACTTGCTGGTGTTGTTGGAGTCAATGCCAATGACACACTTCCATCAGCCCCGTATTTTCTCGGTCTTCCTCGCTTCCTTTTGCCAGGCTCACCAGTTGAAGCAGCTCCCCCAGAAGGACCGCCTACATTGATACTTTGGGATGAAATTCCAGAAGAATCCATCGGCAACGTAGATCCAATAGTACCTCCACCACCACCACCAATACTCGATTGAAAGGGTGAATTGTTGGTATTCGATAGTTGACGAATACCCGCCGAACTAAGTAACTCATGTTGGTTTCCAGAACCAGGTAATCCTCTCGGCATATAGTACGACGCAGAACCCGATAATCCCGCCATTTGGTCACCTCGATCCATGCATTTAAATGCAACTCTTTTCCGAATCTTTAACCAAAAAAACTCTAGCACCTATAGCTGTACTCATATAAAACCAACAACAAATAAAAGATAAGGACGAGTCAGAAAAACGCGTAACCGACGAAATACAATGTACATTCACTAACAAGTCAACTAGCGTCCTAAGTGCATTGTTTAACGAACGCGCAATTTTCCGATGCACTAAACGTGCAATTTTCCATAAAAGTCGACTATTTTCGATTATTAAAAAACGTTCTTAGAACGCCGGTTAACATTATAGTCAAAATTAAATCATATAGCTAACAAATAATTGTTTCTGTCGGGAATCGAACGCGTATACTCCATTCAATCCGACCTTAACTAAAACTCGTTAACCACGCGAATCCAACCACTTGGTTATACTAATACTCTACTGAATTATGCATATGAATGTTTAACAAACATAACCCTAAATATTTAGAGCAATCAAAAGGGAAAAATAAGAACAATAAGAACAGCAAAACCTCAAAAACAAACCAAACATGCAGAAGAGAACTAAAAAGCAGAAGCTAGATCAATTGAAATATCTACAAGATCAATTATAATAAGAACAAAAATAGAAGCTAGATTAAATCTTACCAAACTATAAACAAACATGAAAATCAAAAAAAGCTTCACATTGAATATAAAGACTAAGGTCCACTTTCTTATTCACACCAACCAATAACAAAACTTTAACATTAAGCAATTTCTAAAGTAACCTAATTTAAGCTCACCCTTTGATGCAAAACAAACACCCAGAAAATCAAAAAGCCAAAAACTAAAAAAAAAAGTACTTTTTTTACCTTTTAGAAGAAATCTAAACTACTTGAAGTCAATATTATAAACCCAGTAGTAATACAAGTAGAAATAACAAAATGTCACTAAAAATAACAACTTTAAGAAAAATTATACAAAAAGCTACAATTTTGGAGAATGAATTTAACTTTAAAGCATATTAAAGCATCATTAAAATTGGAGAGAGAGAGAGAGAGAAAGTACTAACATAATATGTGAAGAGAGAGAATGAAAACTCAAAAGTGTATATTGTGAATTGTGATTGTGATCAAGTGGTGTATATCTTTCATGAAGATGTGGTGAAAGTTGAAAAATGTTCAACGGTTTCAAAGGGAATTAAAGAGAGTGGTGGTGGGTGACAGAACATCATAGAGAGAGAGAGAGAGAGAAAAGAAGAAGGTGAGAACAAGAACATTAACTAGAGAATGTGAAAAAAGGAAAAACAAAAAACATGAGTATTGAATAGTGTTTGAACTATGCAATGTTTGTGTCTGATTTTCTCTTTCTTAGTGTGTGTGAGTCAGTTGCATAAGTCATTTTCAGATTGCATAAGTATTTTTTTTTCCTAGGGGTGAGGTATTTCTCTCTCCTAGTTTGATTAGTTATGAATGATGATTGTGATGATGAAAAGATGCCTTGGATAGAGTTTACTCATATGCTTTACTCACTGGCATTTCACAAACAAACAAAAGTTTCATCACAAAAGCACTTCCTCTTTTTTGATTGTAACTTTCAACTCGGATGGATAACATGTAAACACTATTTTTTTTTAAGAAACAAGTGAATTCTCCTAGATTTTAATAATGAAACAAAATTATTTGTAACATAATAGTACATAATTGATATTATTGGAAATTGTAAGTACAACTTACATTTATTTAGATCAATTAAGACATAAAAAAAGTTATTTTAAAACAAATGTTATTTTTATTTTGCAATATAAAATATATCTATTTCATCCGATTTTTAGATAAACACATATTTATTGAAGTGTGAATTTTTTTTTTATTTTTTTTTTAAGATAGAAGTATTAAGTGGTTCACCAAACTCTTTAATAAAAATTATGAGGTTAAAGTAATTGTCAAATGAATGGAGAATAATCATTTTAGTCTCAATCTATAAAAAGGGAATATACAAAGTTGTGTAAATTATAGGGGTTAAATTTAGGAGTCGTACATGAAATTACGAGAAAAATGATAGAACGGAAACTAAGAAAATAGATTCAAATCATTGAGAATCAATTTGATCTATCTACTAAGATGTGTGTTGGAGCAGTATCGAATGGACCAATAAAATTTGCACTAAATTTTATTGACTTGGAGAAGGCGTATGAGAGAGTGCCTAAAGAGATTTTGTGGAAAGTCCTAGACAAGAAAGGAGTTAGGATTGCATATATTCGAGTTATGCAATATATGTAGAAAGAGATATCGACTAGTATACTGTTGTGAAACACGATACCTTTGAAACAAAGTATAACAGGGTTCTTCAAGGCAAGAAACTCACAAGGATAGAAAAGAATGAAAAACACGAAGAACAACAAAGATTGGTTATTAACTGTTATTCTTTACTTTCTCTTCAAACAAGATTACAAGTTCACAAGAATAACAAATAACCCTCTCACTCTAAATTAGGATTTGCAGTATGCAATGATGAGAGATTAGTATATTATTTATAATAAACCTAACATATTAAACTAATGGGCTTTTCACAAATACCCATTACAAGCTAACTTAGGGTACAAACTAACTTAAACAATCGGGCATAACAAATAGGCTCAATTCGAAATACTAACAACCCTAGTATTTCGACACCCACATACCAAAACACACTTCGACTACAATATATAAGTCTTCGACACCAGCATGTGAACATACTTCAGTGTCATGCATTAATTCTGTCGAACCAGAAGCTACTCTTCAATCCAATAGAGTTCGATCCAATATCTCACAAATCTCCACCTTGGAACAAACTCTAATATCATAGAACAAACTAGCTTTCTCCATGCAGCGTTATCAACTGCATACAGTGGAAAAACTTGCAACTAGGCAATGTCTTGGTGATCATATTAGCAGCATTGTGATTTGTCGAAACCTTCAGCACTTGGACTTCTTCACGCTCGATTACCCCTCTGATGAAATGTAACCTCACATCGATGTACTTGGTTTACTCAAGATAGGCTGAGTTCTTCGAAGGATGTATTACACTTTGACTTTCACATTTAATAGTGATAACTCGACCTTGAAGTTCCAGCTCCTTAGCAAAACCTTCAAGCCACAATGCTTCTTTCACAGCTTCAGTGAGGGCGATATATTTCGCTTTAGTAGTTGATAAGGCAACAACCTTTTACAGTGTCGCTTCCAACTGATTGTTGTGCCAAACATAGTGAAAACATATTCAGAAATAGATTTTCTGGAATCCATGTAACATGCATAATCAGAGTCGATATACCCTTCGATTACTACTTTACTATCTTCACCCAAGGCTCCACCATAAATTAAGACTTTGTTCAGAGACCCATTTATGTACCTTAGAATCCACTTCAATGCTTGCCAGTAAACCTTTCCTCGATTTTCCATGTATCTGCTTACAAGACTTACTGCATATGTTATGTCAGGTCTAGTACATACTACAACATACATCAAAAAAACATATTATATTAGCATATGAGATATTATTCATATAAGCTTTTTCGACCTCAGTACTGGGACACTGATCGATACTCAACTTGAATTGAGGGTTTGTTGGAGTCACAACAAGCTTTGAATTCGACATACCAAACTTGTCAAGAATCTTTCGTAGTTATGCCTCTTGAGATAAGTATAATTTCGACTGCTTTCTATCTCTTTGAATGTCGATCCCAAAATCCTAAATGCAACTCCAGATCCTTTATTTCAAACTCATTATTGAGTTCATCCTTCACCCTTATTACATCTTCGACATTGTTGTTTGCTATGAGAATATCATCAACATAAAGCAACAAAATAACAAATGAATTACCAGGTCGAAATTTGAAGTAAACACAGTGGTCGAACTGACTTTTAGTGAAACTTATGCGTGCCATGAACTTGTCAAATCTTCTATTCCACTGTCGAGGATATTGTCAGTCCATATAAATATTTATTTAACTTGCACACTATGATCGGTGGAAATAGAACTGACTGTTTTTTAGCTGGTTTCGCGAAATGTCGTGGTAAGCAAGAGTCGCCACCGTCTTTTATGTTCTCCAATATGGAAAGGACAAAAGCACAGCAAAATTCCTTATTCGAGAATGTTTCTCGGTTCGGGAGGTAGATTTATAGAAAGGGAAGGTGTTAACACCCTTTCTATCCGTGGTTATCCACGGGCTCTTAGGTACTTGCTCTTATGTTTTCAAAAATTATTTGCTTTTCAAGTGTGTGTGGATTTTGAAAAAGTTTCGTTTGAAAAATTTCTAAGTAACTCTTGTATCAGTCCTCAAGAGTGTGTGAAAAAATTGTTTGAAATCTTTTAGAAAGTGTGAGGTGTGAAAAGTTGTTTTGTTTTGTTTGAAGAGAGCAAGTACTTAAGAGAATCTACCTACTCTAAGGAATTAGGCTGTGTAAGAGTCCTTTAGATAGTGCTATCCCACCATTGAGAGGTAGGTAGCACCATCGTTGGAGGTGTTCGGGTCAATTCGATTAAGGGACATGTGTGGTCACCGAAGCAATAGTAGGACACCTTAGAAGTAACCCTAATGTCCTAGATCCTTTTATCCGAGGCAACCGTTTCGAGGCAACTGGATCTTTAAACAAAGGGCGACCTCTAAGACGTCCTATACTTGATGACCACGTCGAGGCAACCAGTGAGGTGTACCCTAGAAGTGGCATGTGCTTTGTGTGTTGTTTTTCAGTTAAGGTTATCTTGTACATGTTATTTGTGAGCTACGGATTGATTTTATTTACATACATTCTTTCATGCATTGTTAACAGTTAGGAGTGCGGAAAATAAATTGCGGAAATGTAAATCTAACTATTACAAGGCGCGGGTCTATACATCGCCAAAAAACAAAACCCGTTTGGAAATAAAGTGCGAGAAATAGTAAATAAAGCGGTAAAATTCCTATTTAACTATTACATATCTGGAGACAGTTACATAAACAAACAAAATAAATAAATGCGCGCGAGAATTAAATCGGGAACGTCCTAAGGGTTTTGACCCTTTTTGAA